ATTCAAAACCGCGAAAATGTGAACCCTGCTAGGCAAACGGTAGGGCGCGTAATAACTTCTCATTCTTTCTCTTTTCGTGGATTTGAGATGCTTGTGTCTTATACCCACTATCTAGCCCGCTTCCCGCAATTTTCCTCGAGGGGCAGGCGAGAGGGTGTGCGGACCAAAGAGAGGGCAGATGAGTTCTACCTTCTCGGCGAATTTCCTAGTGCAGGAAATTGAGTACACAGCAGCCCCATAATGATTAGATGCAGGTATAAAGGAAGGAGGGTGCTCTTCTCCCCACCCCTGCCAAAAGGAATAAAAAAAAAAAATCAGCGGGCGGTTAGCTCGAAATGCCGGGCCCTCCTCTGGGCCGTAGAGGCCCGCCAAGCAGGCGTCTGGAATCTGGAAGAAGAAAGTTACCCGTCAAAGTGGAGGCCAGAGCATGTGTCCAGACTCGGTCCCAAGGGGGCCGAAAGGAAAGAGATGGGGTCTAAGCAGCCCCGCGCGCGGCCAGCTGCAGCTGCCGGCGAGAGGTGCGGGCGCCGAGGCCCGCGGAGCACCCGCCGAAGCTCTACTTACATAACGCTTCAACTTTTTCTCCGGGGGGGACTTGCGGAGCCATCCCGAGCAGACCACTTCGCCGCCGCTCATGGTGCGCGCTTCTCGGGCTCCGGCCCGGGCAGCAGAGGGGTGGGCGCGATCCCGACACAGTCGACGCCTGCCGGTAGCACAGAGGCTGGGACCTCGCTCTCCCCGCCGCGCACCTCGGGCCGAAGGGGCGGGCGGGCTACGCGGCGCGCCGGCTCCCCGCGTCCGAACCTCTCCCTCGCGGGTCCGCGAACTTGAACAGAAACGGGCTGCGCCGCGGAGGCCGACACCTCGGAGCAGGGGCCGTCCCCGGGCCGAGGGCACCCTGGCCTCCCTTCACGGCGTCCGCCTTTCAGCCAGGCGGCCCCGTCCCGCGGCCGCCTCGGCAGCGATCGGGATCCGCAGGACTCTGCCCGGGCACCGAGCCGGAGCCTCGGTCCCCTGCGCTCCGCCCCCTAGGGACAGGACCTCCCCAGGGCGCTTTCCGAAACAGACACTAGGCTGCACGCGCGCACACACAC